ACCATCACCACCACCACCATTACTTTCACCTATCACCAAAATAATACTCTTCCTATACAACATCAATCAACCCATTCAACATCCACACTCACACTCACACTTACACTCACATTCAAATTCACATCTCAAAGTGTAACGAAAAGAAGAAGAAGAAATATAATCAAGAAGATTCTATTCTCCTCTCTCTCTCTCTCTCTTCCTCTTCCTGCACCTCGCCAAAAATTCCCACCTTGATTAAAACGGACCCAAAAGGAAAAAAAGGCGATTTATTCCGAAAACGCTTATTTCATACTTATACTTGACTTCACCCACATCCGGTCCTTCAACCTCTTTTCCTCCACACTTATTCCAACCCCAACTTAAAACCTACAAACTACAACTATCACCTCCTCCTTCTCCACCAATACCTCGATTACTTTTCTCTCTTCGACCGACCGATTATTCAACCTTTCACTCTTCGATATCGCCTCCACCACATTGAATTATTGTAAATAGATTCCATACGATTACGAACATTCAATCATCAACATAACAAACCAACATTCCTCCACCATTTCGCGATCACATCGCGACTTCTTTCCGCAGTCGTGCCTTCACTCTCATAACAGCTCGTGCGTTCGAGCAAAATTTCGATACCAAAATACAATCATTATGCCTTCCAGATTAAATGCGCCGGTCTTGACCGTTGACGCCGGACTTATTCACAAAGTCGATACAAGAAACGTGGAGAACCTTTACAGCATGTGGACTGGTAAGTTTACTTCCGTTCTCCCATCATTCACTCGTGAAATCATTCGCCTCACGACATTCCCGTCATTCACTATACTAACTAACATTCCTTACAACAGTCTTCTCAAGATGTGCTGGATCCTTAGAAGAAGGTCAAAGATTAGAAAATTTAAGCTGGAGATTGTGGAACAGAGAAACCTTTTGCTGTGAACCAACTTCAGAAGCAAACACTACCACACCCATCATTTCACGATCCTCAAGAAGTTCCGAAGGTCTAGATTCGAATAACGTTCCAGAATTAAGTGGAAGTTTAGATTCACTCGTGGACGAAGAGGCCATCGAATTCGAAGAAGGTTCCGATGCTTCTCCTCTCGATATCTCACACCGACAAATTCACAGACAAGATTCCTGCAATAGCAGAAGTCGAGGAAAGGAACGTCACATTACACCTGATGATCTTGAGAAGATGGTTATCACTATCAAGGAAAAGAAAGATCTCGCTCCTCTTACCATCTCTACACCTTACCTTGCACCACTCTCCGAGAGAATCCCAGAATTCGTTCAACCAAAGTATGAATCACCTGCCATGCCATCAAATGAGTCTTTCTCAATCAACTCATCAAATCAATCTGCCGCCATGGAATCATCAAGCAGCAACTCCGAAAAGAGTGCCACTTCAGTTGTCAAGGGTTTCTCTCTCTCACCTGCACACGTCAGCAGCTCAATGCGTTCCATCCCACTCAACACCGTACCATCCTCGATACCCACTGCCGATATCCTCGCAACAGATTCAAAAGCACTTGCACCCAAGAAGACGCAAATGTTCGCTCTTGGTGGATCTTCCGGTGAAGACTCACTCAGTGAACAAGCAGCTTCAATGGATGACAAGCCATTAACACTCCAACAAAAGAAGAAGCCAGCTAAATTTAGCTTCGGTGGATCATCAAACGAAGACGAGAGCTCTCTACCAAACAGAATGCAACCACGTAGTGCATTGACTGACAAACTTCAAAAGCCTTTGGCCAAGAAGCAAACTTCTTTCCAAGAAGAGGTTGCCACTAGAACCATTCAAGAGGAGGCATTCGATGATGATGTCTTCGAGACAGATGACGAGGATGATGTCGACGAGTCTGCCATTGACGATGACGATGATTCCTCTGATTGGGAAGATTCAGTCGAGGATTCTGGAAACGCAAGTATCGATGACAAGACCTTCTTTCAACGAGTTGATTCAAGACCTCAACTCACCTCTAGACGATCATTGATCACCACCATGCTTCACCAAAACGATCGTGCTCAAGCACTTGCCACCGAAGCTTCTCGATCGACTCCAGCTCTTCGCAGATCCCGAAACTCTTCGCCCAATGGTCCTTCTCTCGCAGCATCACCGGAATCTGATGAAACCCCTCTTATGATGAGAGGACTTAGACCAATTGCCGAAGTTCCTCGTGGAGCTCAACCCATTATCAAGACAACCACCAACACTACCGCACATCAACAAGCACTTTCACCAAGAACTACAAGAAGAAACATGCTTGCAACTGAATTGACTGTGAGTCTTCGACAAAACCTCCTTTGGGAGAGAAGACAAAAGTCATCAGTCAATGAAGCTGCTGCAGCTCTCAAACGAAGACACACTGCACATGATGTTGCAAACCTTAAACAATACCCAGAGAATGTTTATATGGATAAGGATGATCAAGCTCTCAACTCAAGCTGGAATCAATACTTCAGTCAAGGGTTGGGAGAATATCATTCCAAGGGATGGTAAATTTCTGAACAATACTACGTGTTAGTCGCATAATGTAATGGGTTATCTGCGCATCGAGTAAACAGCATCAGTATACAACAATTTATACGTTTGACTTGTATTGCCTTTTGGTAATACACAGTCTTTACATCGACTTCACAGTCAAAACTGCATTCATCGTCATGGAGTTTCTTGGCATAAAAACAGGACGTGTGGAATTTTTACATGGTCATAGCATTGGGCACGAATTAATGTCTTTTTGCTTTTTTTTTAGTTTGCATTATAGCGAATGTTTTACAATCACAGGATCAAGGAGGGGTGGGATATTTGTTTGTTTTTTACTTTTATTTTTATTTTTAACTTTTCTTCTTCTACATATTCACATAGCGACTTGGAAGAAAAAGGTCAATAACTTCCACACATATTTGGGGGATGGAAAGAACACTGGTAAGGGAATAAACTGGTATGGAATGGGAAATTATGGATCGGTGTTCTTTTGCGTCTGTTTTTCTTCTTCTTCATTTTACACAAAAGCTTTTTTCGAGGAAAAGTGTTATGAAGAAAACTGAATGGTTTCTTTTTCAAAGAATGTTTTGATACCAGCGGATTTTATTTCAACTGGCGTTGGGATGATACCACATAATGGATTTTTGAGAAAGTCCTTGGGATTTTTTTTTCAGTTCAAGCTTTTCCTCTTTTTGAGAGAAGAAGATCATGAACTTCCGAGAGGAAGCATGAATCTTTGTATATGATCTGAATGGATGGGAACTGGAATGGAAGGATAGGCAGTGGATGATATAAAAGTTTAGGGGGAATGGGAAATACGGAACAATTGTATTGTGACTTGCCAAATGAAAGCAAGCAGATTAGATAGTTTTTAGTGAGAGGATAGGAGAGGGGGGGAAGAAGAAGAGAATAAAAAATAAAATATTGATACAAAACTTTCTGGTTCATTTGATTGATTGTGGTGATGTGAGTGGCTTGATGCGATGTTGATACTTTGACTGGATATGGTATAAGGATGAAGATGAAATGTCTTCGAGGAGTAAGGAGGATAAGAGCGGTAATGGGGATATTTGATATTTGATATTGAATGTTGAATGTTGGTTTGGTTGTAGAGGTTAAGAGAGGATAATGAGGATGATGATAATGTAAGAAGAGATATTTGAAAGGGAAGCAAATAGGAAGGTTTGTTATTGTGTAAGGTGAGAGAAGGGAAGGTGAGAGGAGGGGGGGTAAGAGGGAGTAAGGTTATTGAAGAATGGATAGGAGGAGCGATGAGGGAGGGGGGATGGATTTGAACAAGGGAAGTGAGAGGAAGAGGAAAAAAGGGAAGAGGGAGAGGATATCAGAAGAGAAGAGAGAAGATAAGGGATGGTGGGATATAATGGAAGACGGGGATGGGGAGGAAAAAGGGCTGGGATTTAGGATGAAGGATTGGCATTACGGTTTAAGAGGGGGAGGTGGGATATAATAGCAGATGGGGATAGGGGGGATGGGGTGAGATGGGGAATGGGGAGGGAGAGGGAGGGAAAGAAGATAGTAGGAAAGAGAAGTAATCGATTAGCTCAGTTCGATTCGGTTCGATTCAGTTCAGTCCGTTCTGTTTTATTTCATTTCATTCCAGTTTAGTTTAGTGGTATCGATATAATCTCAAAGATATCTTGAAGAATCAAAATTTTCAATTTCGAGCGCAGCGAGCTAGGGGGTTTGGGGGCTTGCCCCCTTGGATGGATGGATGGATGCATGGATGCATGGATGGATGGATGGGTAGGGTTGGATGGAGAGATGGGGAGGTGAGGAGGAGAGGAGGAGAGGGAGGGTGGAAATTGGGAGTTGGAAGTAAGAGGGGGGATGGAGATGGGAAATGTGAGGAGAGCGGTGGAGCGCTGGGGAGGTATTGGAATGAAGGATGAGGGATGGGAGTGGGATCAGAATTGGAATTGGGGATGAAGGAATACATAGATAGAGGAGTACTGCGATGGTGAAGATGGGTGAGATAAAACAGAGTAGATGGGTGATTAGGTAGGTGATTAGATGAATAAGGGTGATTGGCTGGATGAATGAATGTGTGAGATAAGGAGGGCGAAGATATTCACGATGGTAGGGAGTTATTCATAAGTAAATGGGTTATTGCTGGGACTGGGATTGGGATTGGGATTGGGATAAAGAGTGAGAATGCTTGGAATGATGGATAGGTAGGTAGAGCTATGTTTGGATTCTAGGGAGTATTGTGAGAAGGATGGGGAAAAAATAAGAGAAGGGGAGAGGAGAAGAGGAGAAGGGGAGAAGAAGAGGAGAGGAGAAGAGAAGAGAATTGATATCATAGCATATGAGAATAAAATAGAAGAGAAGAGATGTAGTGATCTAATATAAGATGATATGAGATACAATATGAGATAAAAGGAGACGAGAAAGTGTACGGACAAATAGATAGATACTAGACATCAATCTCCGGATTCGTTTTCATATATACTATAGATGAGTATGAAAATGAGAATCTTTGAGAGAAGGTCTATAGATTCTAGAATGTATTAGATATTTTATTTATTTGTTTATTCATTTTAAGATGTAAACTCGAATTGATGTGTATTTTAATTATGTTAGCATTTGCTCGAGTAATAGTTAGTTATTGCTGGTCTAGGATTCACGGAACCGAAGATTAAGGAGGGAGAGGGGGAGTAATGAATTTCCTGGGGCTTTGGTTGTGCTATGAGGAGGTCTATGTATTTGTTTGTGGGATTAGAAAGTTGTGGTTGTGTTTATATTATTAATACTATTATTGTTGTTATTTTTGTTGTTATTATTATTGCTGTTGTTCATTCGGTTGTGAATATGATCTTCGTTGAAAATTGGAAGGGTAAAGAAAGGGGGGAGGCGGAGGGGGAATAGTGAAGAATAAATCATATACCTCACACATACCTATAGAGTAGATATCATTCAAGAACACACTTTTCCAGTTTACCTCATCTTGCCTATCTATCCTATATATATACAGATTGAATTGAATCATACTATCTCCCCATCACTTCGAATACACTCATCCATTCATTCCTCCTTCAATTCTCACAAATTCTACTAATCCTCGCTACAATAAGAGAGAGCGATTGTTGTACCTCATCATTTATTATTTATTATTCATTATATATTAATATCTAATCTTACCTTATTATTATTACTATCACATAAATATCCCATTTCCTACTTCCATTTACAACTAACTAACTTAGTTTTTTGGTGGGTGAGTAGGATGGAATGTGTAGGTATATTTGTATGTGTATTATTATCGTGACCGTTACTATTACATCGCCGTTAACCTTACCCTTTCAAATAAGATTATTCAACATAACTACATCCATCATCAAATATAATAATCTACATTTCCCCCTCCACAATCTCCTCACTCTCACCCCCACGCCCAAATTCTCCTCGCCGTTTAAAATTTAAACATCCCAGCACCTCTCTCTCTTTCTCTCCAATCTCACCTCAGATTTCCCATCTCTGCTGACGCCATCCAGCCGGTACGGACCCTTCCTTCCCCGTTATGTCGTCAAATTCGTCACATCCTAATTTTCCCATCTTTACTATAAATACACACACACACACACACACATGTAAGATTCTACCACCCACTTCTCCAAATGTTAACCACGCGACCTGGTTACCCCTGAGTTTTGGGCTACTTCGCCGGGTGGGATTGTGCTGGGCTGAGGATTGATTTAGGTAGGTAGGTATTTGGACATTGAGATTTTGTGATCGTGGAAGATTGGGTTTTGTGGGTTGATTTTTGATATGAGATGGGAGATTGGGGATTGAGGAAGGGATCGAGGTTGCTTACTGTTTATTGTCTAGCTATCTAATTACTATTTATGCCTACCTGATACCTCCTCCTTTCATGAAAACAAATAGCAAAGATGACAGACAGAAATGCTTAGCTAATGAAACGAACGATGAGATGAGATGAGATAAGATAGCGTGGGGTAGGTAAGGTTAAGGTTATTCATCACACGGCACTTACTTCCGCAATGGCAATACTAAGACTAAAATAATCATACGAATACTAGGTAGGCATCATAAAATGTAGACAAGAAATACAAATGCCATTTCTGAAGGATGAAAACAAGACTCGTGATATGAAGATGTTTCAAGACTATAATTGTATCTGACATACCAGTAGGATGAGGTAAGAAAGGTAAGCTGTGCTCTATCTATGTAGGCAGATATGATATCGATAATCGAATCATCAGTCACGCACGCGGCGCAACGCTACCTCCACCTCCTTTTCTTTCCCCACGTTCGGTAACCCACCCCATGGTTACTAGGTACCTAGGTGTATAGGTATTATTCATTGATTCAGCCTTCACACGGTGGAAATGTCATCGAATAAGTTGTATCTGCCTTATCCCTCACATATTCACACAGACTGTATGGTTACCTATCACTCAGCTCAGCTCAATGTACAGTGAAGCTTGTACTATCTAAAACAAAGTAGCAATCCACCTTACCGGTCCATCCTATCTTGATGATCCAACCACCTTGGTATGTACATCTCATTCCCATAAGGCATTTCTCCTTTCCGCAAGGACCTGGATATCTTACACTATAAAATCACCTACCTATTTAAGCCCATTACGAACTTTAAGATCTGAAACGTGTTTGTTCTACAAGTTTAAAGCCCCTCCTTTCCTCCCTGACGTCTGTCTATCGTATACTCATCACAACCTATAAACACACATCTCATGACCCCAACACCAACAATACCATCTGAATTTCTAGATGGAAAACACATTCCCCTCTGTCTTGAATTAAATATAGTATACACAGTTACTTCCAAGTAAATAAGCACTGCTGTCTGTCTGTCTGTCTGTCTCCATGCACATCCTAGTATCCCAACCACACGGCGCGTAACCTACAAGCGCACGAAACAAAACAATTCTATTTACAAATCAATATGTATTTCTAGTCGTGAGAAATAAAACCCCAAGATTAATTAATCCATTCTTGCTTCTCAGCCCCGTGGA